ATGGAGATAAAGGGAAGTGAGGGTCCGCGAGTAGTAGTACACTTTGCAGGAGGCGCGGCTGGTGAGCAGCCCGATGCTCTCGATAGCGGTCATAATACGGCGCAAGCCTTGCGCAATGTGAAGCGGGTCAGCGTCTAGTGCCTCCACATCGACATGACGCAGGTGGCCGTCAGCGCCCCCTCTGGTATCACGAAGGAATTGCTGCAATTCGGATCCCAGCGTTCCATCACCAGACCACGGTAGCCTGAGCTTGACGCGCTCCAGACTGGAGTAGAAGGCCCGGACGCTAAGCAGGAAGCAGGTGCAGACGTCCAGGGCTATGAGGCTCCTAGATCCGTATTGTATAACCTGGCGGCCGCTCGAGGTCGTCCGGTGTTCGCCAGAAAGTTTCGCGATCGCTGGGTACAATGTGTTATCCAGCTTCCAGATCCGGGATTCATCAATAAGCGCATCGCGTAACTTTCTCGAGACCAGCGATGCGCTATGGGCAGGAGAAGGAAGGTGAGGGGGGAGGGCTTTGCCAGAGTCTGAGCGTATGCAGATCGGTCGGCTGGAATCCCACCGTATCCCGTTGCAGCACTGGGGTATAGAGGGCGGGGCGGACGCAGATCCTGACACCTGGTAGCGCTTTACCCCGGCGAATGGTGCTTGTGCCGCGAAGTGTTCGTTATGCCAAGCGATCTGAGCAAAGTATATGATCGAAGAAATCAGCTCAGCCGGCAGCTTGTCAAATCGCAGAATGGGCGGGGCAGATACCGACATTGGATGTAAGGGGGAAGTTCAAGATGCAGCTCATTCTTGATATCTAAGTTTACCGTAGTGCATCATCAGGCATGTGCCTGATGATGCTACAAGCGCACATCGCCGGGTCAAAGTTGCTCCGATGAACCGAGGACTCCGACTCAATAACTGTCAGCGCCGCAAAGTGTAGTGACTAACGGGATCGTAGCGCCGCCACAAGTTTACCACGGTTGACAAACATCCTTTCTACCTGGCTAGGATTTGAGTTATCTCGGCGCCCTCGAGACTGTAATCCCCAGCACTCAAAAATTGAGGTGATTTATGAATTGGGAACAAGGTCGGGAGTCGAACCCGAGAACGCCGTGAAGTCATGCGCCTCACAACCGATGCTCCGCATCCTCCCGAAGCCGCTATGCCCCGCCGACGTGATGCCTCGCGCCTCCCTGCTTGTAGAAACACCGTTCTCAGTATAATCCCGGCGATCTCTGGGTGGTACGCCGAGGCGGCTGCTGGAGCTTGACCAAATCACCAGCGCGGCGGTCCTTAGTGTCTGCGGCGGATCCGAGTTTGTGAACCAATGATGCCGGGGCGCTGAAAGATTCGCCATGCTATGTACCTACGTTCTGATGGTGCGAGGCGCACCGCCGGGTCAACGCTACATTCTCCAGCTCTTCACACCGCCGTCATACATGATGCAGGATGACTGCGCCACGAGCGGTAAAAGGCACCCGGTGCTCTGGGCAGTCCGCGTGGAGCGGGATGCCCAGCTGGTGACCTTGTTCGGGCAGTCGTGGGGATGAGTCCGGTGAGCTAAACATCTCGGCGATGTTTGGACCAAACCCCAGCAACTCGATGATATGCGTGAGCAATACCACCAAGGTTTGGGGTTTATGATTGTTGTGTTTGCCGCGGTGATCACGGCGATAACTCTGACTGATATGGGATGCGCCAAACATCACCATGATTCCCCGGGGTAGCCGCCTTCATCACCGCTGGGAACTCAAGCACCGCCTCCCCGCGGCTCTGGTGATATGAGTGACGCAACGATCGCTGTAAGAGACGCGCGACCTCGCTCGAGTTTACTGCAGGACTTTGGGAATCGAATGGAAGAAACAAAAGTTATGGTGGAGGGAATCAAGCCCACGAAGGCTGCCCATTCGCCAATTTGACAGCCTATCAGCTAAGAATTCGTGCAGTTGTATTGTCAGGCAAACATGGACTGTATATCCCAGATTATCCTTTGCTCAGTTCAGCTTTCCACTTGCACCAACAAGGCACTCACCTAGAGAGATGCAAGCTGAACTCACATTCATTGAACATCAAAAACACCGTTAGCTTATGTCAATCGTAAGCAAAGGTTGCATAGGCCACTGCCCACACTACAGCACTTGAAGCATCGACCACAATACATGTAAAATATTAACATACAAGTGGCAATATGTGTACAGTAGTAATGATCAGCAGCTACGTATGTGGGAAAGAGGTCTGTACTGCTTGAAGAGGCCAAGGAGCTATCAATGTAAAGTATTCCAGGCCATGCAACACTGTGTGTGACACTGCCATCTGATTTGGTAACAATGATCAGATGAGCATGTCACGCATCGCCTACACCTGAAGGGGTTCTCATCTCCCATGGTTCCCGATTCAATAACACCAGCAATTTCCCCAGCCAGGGGAAGCCAGAGATATGTGCCAGGAGAAACCCCAGCTGTGTTTTCAAATATAATGATTATATAAATATATATAAATATACTGCTCGGTGATTACCTGTCATTATTCACAAGTAACGGAGTCCGTGGGCCTGTCATTATCTGTTAGACACGGAGAAGATCTGCTAGAGTATGTGCCAGACCTACAACCCGATGATCGTCAGTAAGTCATTGAAATGAGTCAAGACATTGACTTACCGCGACGCAGAGAAGCTTGAGGTACGCGGGCTGTGCATCACAGCGCTCCAGGATAGGTTTGTACTTGACGTTCGACTTAAGAACGGACTTGAGCGCGGCTCCGGCCGTGATCAGGCCGCCCGAAAGCTCGTGAGTGTTGACCTTCTCGACGCCTTCGGCGTCGCTATCGTCGAAGTCATCAGCGACGTCGGCCTTGACTTTCAGGGGTATCGCGACGCCCGTCTTCGAAAGGAACAGATGGCGTCGGAGCCCCTTCATCGCGGCGCTGAGAGCTTCATTCAGGATCTTGGGCTGCTGACCGAGGTTGCCGACGCCGCCGTGCTCGTTGAAGGTCACCTGCGTGTCTGGGTGATTGACCTTATTGTCGTTTTCCTGCGCCTGTCGTTCATTGATACGACGCTGACGCGCATCGGCCTGCGTAGAGGAGCCGCGCTGTAAAGATAAAATGTGCGTTAGAACATGCGACACACACAAAAGGATCAGAGTACGTACGACATATTCCTTCTTGATCCCGGCCTGCGCTTTAGTGAGTAATGTGCACCGAGAATATCATAGAAGAACGTACCTTAAGAGCGGCATGACTTTCGTCATCGCTCTCCTCCTAGATTGGAAAGTAATGATATATTAGTATGCTATACATAAGGG